GAATTTGGAGTTAAATAGATGAGTTCAAATTCGATAGTTTCGGGTACTTTATAGTAACTGTTCACATTCTAAATCCTATACCAGATTTGTTTATCCATGCATACAGCTGACTTTTCTCCCTTTGAAAAGATGAACTTATGTTTCTTAAAACCTTTAACCTAAACAATACTCTTATGGTAGGGGAGCCTTGGTGGCTCAGTCAGTTGAGTGTCCGACTCTTGATTTTGGCTCAGGTCATGATCTCAGGGTTGTGGGATCGAGCCCTGCATGGGGCTCCGAGATCAGCGAGGAGTCTGCTTGAGATTCTCTCTCTCCCCCTCCCTCTCCCTCTGGCCTTCCCCACCACTTTCTCTCTCTAAAATAAATCTTTAAAAAAAAAAAAAAAACTCTTAATGATAGCTCTCAAAAAACATGTCTGTGCCCTAACATATTTTCTTTTTTTTATCTTGAGAAATTAAAAGATATGACTACTACTTATTTAGTTAAATATGAGGAAACTCCATGCTCTACATATATAATTTCCTAGATACGGTTGTGGCTGTAGCCCTTCAGAATGTCTGTCTGTCTGAAATCTGTAGACCAGGCACTTATCATATGTTAAGTATTCTGAAGAAATAGATAGATGGGTATTAACATAAAGGGAGAATCATGACAGAATTACAGCCCAAGAGTTAGTATGCAGGATAGGGTAATAAATCCTAGATTCTGAATTTGCACTTACTAGTTGGGTGAACCTTAATGCGTCATTTTACTTCTTGGAGCCTCAGTGGTGGTTTTTGGAATTGAATGCAATATTATTGGAAAGATTTTTAGCATAGTGCCTAGCATGTAGCAACTGCTCTAGAAATGATCTTTTCAGAACTGTCTTGCTCACACTAAAATTTGTTTCCTGCGATTTGGCTAGCTTACATTAAAGTGTATTGTCTCTATGACAGAAATGAACTATTCCATATCTCTAGTAATAAGTAAAACAAGTGTGAATTATTACAGCTAGATATATTAAAAATTTTTTGTTAGAATTATCAGTAATCATTTTTTAAAATATTTTTTAAAGATTTTATGTATTCGTGAGCTCATGAGCAGAGAGGGAGAGAGAGAATCTCAAGTAGACTCGGCGCCAAGCACATAGCCCAATGTGGGGCTTGATCTCAAGACCCCAAGATCATGACCTGAGCCAAAATCAAGAGTTGGCCACCTAACCCTCTGAGCCACCCAGGCACCCCAGTAATCATTAATTTAAATCACACATTGTAACTGTTTGGATTTCCATGACCCACAAAAGATTTTCATCTTTTATACTTCCCAAATGCACATATTCTTGTAAACCTCCATTCACATTCTGGAGAGACGTTCTACCTTACTTAGGGTGGATGAAATTACAGAAGTATTGAAAATAGGCTTGTATGTCCAGATGATCATTTCAGTGCCCCTTCCTTGTCCTCATTCACTCCTCACCTACCGTCTGTCTCGGTTGCTAGTTTGATAGAAGAGGCCTTAGGGTGAGTACCTCTCTTCCAGCTTTGTCCCCCATTCACCAAAAGACACAGTGTTAAATTAAACCTTTGCATTTGTCGATAGCTCCGTATGGTTTTTAAATCATGTTAAATGGCTCTCATTAAATCATTCAGAAATGTAACGGTGAACAGGATGTTTAATTTTTTTTAAGAGGGAGAGAGAGAATCTCAAGCAGGCTTCATGCTCAGCACAGAGTCCAACGCGGGGCTCAATCTTACAACCCTGAGATCATGACCTGAGCCAAAATCAAGAGTCGGATGCTTAACTGACTGAGCCCCCCAGGCGCCCCTCAATATCTTTTTTTAAAGATGAGAAAAGGAGAATGAAAGAGACTAAGGTTACTTGTCCAAGGTCATAAGGCTGATGATTGATCTTCTCAGAACTGGGACTCAAGTCTTTATGTTCCTCTCCCCAGTTCTTTATACACTGTCACTGAGCTTTCAGTAGAATCCTTGATATGGATATATAAAGCCACTTGATCTGATAGTTTAAATGCTGCTGCTTCAACTTTCTAATCATACGTAAGGCAAAGAAGCCATGAAATAAAAGACTGCTACATTTGATGATCCAAAATTTAGAATGGATTCATGACAAAATCACCATAAGCAGATACAAACACTAATGAACTAGGCCGCGTAGGGAGGGGAGTGGGATTGTAAATCACATAGAACAGAGCACCAATCTTAACTACATATCAATATGAAAATAAGCTGAACCTTCCTCATAAGAGAAATGCAAATTAAACAATGAAATATCATTTTTTGACCTATCATTTTTTTCAAAGATCCATTTTATTATACATTATTGGTAAGAAAATGAAAGACATTTGCACACGTTGTTGGCAAGAGCGTAAAATGGTACGTAATCCATGAAGGATATTTTGGTAATATCAGAACTTTAAAAGCACCTTGTGACTCAATTTATCCTATTCCTAGACATCAACCCTATAGATACAGTTGAATACAGACACATACAAGAGTATTCAACTTAATTTTTAAAACATACAAAATAAAAAGTTTAAAAAGTACATCAAGAAAATTTGAGGGGGTACCTGGCTAGCTCTGTCAGTAGAGCTTGGGACTCTTCATCTTGTGATCGTGAGTTCAAGCCCCATACTGGGTGTAGAGATACTTTAAAAAAAAAAAAAAAGTTGAGGAATATTTAATCTTTCATTTAGTACAAATGTGTATGATTGTACTACAAATTCCTGACATTAAACCTAACTAGTCAATTTTTCAACTTCCAAATATAAAGAATTATTTGTTAAAAATTCTAGATTGCAAATTCTTTGAAAGCATGCACTGTGTATGCTCCCTCATCTTTGTACCTTAGAGGTGCATTCTAGTGGGTACCCAATGTTAAATAATTTGGTACAGAAAATGGAATTGAGAAGTGCTTTGGTTATTACTAGATTACTTAAGAGATCCAGGTTCTTATATTAGTCCACGTACATCTGACTGGAACACTCTGAGAAAAGAAGTTTATTTTATTTTTCTATTTTCCTATACCTTAGTTTCCCCATCTTAAAAAAGGGGTGGGTGGGTGGTGTCTAGAAAGGTCCCTTCTAGCTCTATTGTTCTAATGCCTCTGTTTCTAGCACTTGAAGATAGCTATATTCTTCTACTCTTAGTATTCTATAGATTAGTAGCCCCAAACTTTGCACACTGAGTTTTAAGTGTATATTTATGAATTAAGTATGTCAATCTGTGTATTAGTACTAACATATAGTTCTTTTAAAACTGGAATTTTCTTCCCATGCATGTGTATAGTTTTGTGCACTCCTGGAGTTTGTGTACCCAAATTTGGAGTACACTCTCTAGAAAAGTAACTTTAATGTTTTTGAAGGTCTTAAAAAGAACAATGTAGTTATTAAAGTATTATTCTCTGATAAATATACCTTTGTCAATCAAACAGCAAAAATCGGGGTCTTTTAGTTTTTTTTTAGCAAAAATTGTTTTTATCACCATTTGTTGCTTCATGCCATCATCTTCTTTTGGCATTGATACTTGATCTACCAAGCTATCTTAATAAATATATTTGTATTTTTATAGCTTGCCTTAGATTTCTCAAAGAGGTATATATACAAATAATACAAATACGAAGGCTAGCAGTCCTTGGAAGAAGGAAAAACATTACTGCTTTATCTGAGCTTTGCTAACTTGAAAAACAAAAAATCTTGAGGTCCATGAGGCCATCAGTCTAATAATAGTAACCGATGCAAATATTTTCAAAAATCAGTTAAGATTTCTGATATGAATGAGAATATTGTATTTTGGATCTCTTTGTCATTTATCAGGCCATGACCTACTTTAAATATATTCTTTTGTATTCACCTCTGTTTTTTGGCTTTTTAAGTGATTTTCTATTTTTGATGAGTAACCTTTTAAGCTACTTGTAGTTTGTCATTTTGTTTCATATCTATGAAGCTGAAACTATATTATTCAGTGAAACTGGGACCATTTGCCTGGGGAGAACTCAGTGGCAACATGATAGCCATTGAAATATGCTATAACAGGTTAAACTCTCTGGTTTATTGAATGGCAAATGAGTCCATTTTTGACGTTGCAAGGAAAGATCAGGAAAATGCTACTGAGGTCTGGAGGAAGCTGCCACTTGTAACAAGTCACTTAAATACTACATGCCTATTTCCTCTTCACTAATAGAAAGAATCCTAGATCTGTCATTGGAGAAAGGTTAGGAATGATGTAGTCCAACCAAACTAATCAGTTAAGCATCAAATGAGCTACTGTACAGCAAGCTATTAGTTTATAAACATAAGGTTCACATCTGAAAACGTGAATAGACTATCATGAATATTATTTAAGATTCAGGACTACATGTCCATTACATGTGGACTAGCTACCCTTTGGACTCTTAAGTTTCTGTTTCTAAAGATTCTCATCAGAGAGCTAGTAGACAAGCATAAGGGAAAGAGGAAGGACCGTATTCCAATTCGTTGGGTGACTCTATAACTTCAGACATATTTGTACTTGAGTCTGAGACTCACTTTTATTGTTTATCATCAGGATAAGTATACCAACCTTGCTTGGTTGTTATGAAATTTAAATGAGATAATACATGTGAATGTGCCTAGAACATGGTAGACTTTCAAACAAAGGTTAATTCCTTCTTGTCTCAAAGTGGCTCTGATCCTGGTAAGTTAAAGGACAAATGAAAAGGGTTGAATCCTGCCAAGTTCAGTAGGTTAAATGTCATGAGTATACTTATGGAATCCACATACAGTGGTTTTGTTGGCCAGCGCTACCTGGGTGACGTCTTAAGGACCTGGCTATATGTAATATATTCAGTTCAGTAAGGCTGGAGCTAAGAAATAGAACAAAACTCTTGTACTTTCAGGGTAATAAAATGCCCTATCTACTCTGTTTAGAGGTCCAAACAATAAAAATGACTGAATTTTCTTTTACAAGGTTGATAATTTCTTTGAAGTTAAAGTAAAACTAAATGCTTTGCACTTTTTTTTCCAGCATGCTACAAATGAAAACTGATGAGAAATTGAATTTGTCCGATGGGAATACAGCAAGTTGCCCTTTGAGCCCCATTAAGATGTGCCTTAATCGTCCCATTGAATGGAATCTGAATTTGACAGCAGCATCTCTAGCGAGCTGTACAGTTCATAACCAAAACCTCAAAAGTGAAGAGAAATAGATTGCAGTTCTTCTTGCACTATCCTTATTTTGTACATCAGTATTCTTTCTGCATTTATCAATTGATCTTGAAATATTTCTAGTCCTGTGATGTCTTTATATTAAATATAATCATTAGCATTAATCATTTGGATTATATTCTTTGTATGTTTTTTTACGTTTTACACCGGACCGTTGTGGAATTTTGCAGTACAAATGGATTTTGATGTTTCTCTTTTTAAAGGTATTTTGTGAATTTTTTTATGCCCTAAGTTTAAATACATAATTGTTCCCAGTTTTATTTCTGTGCACAAAGTTTTAATATATACTGCATTATGTGATTTAGAAGGCTAGTATTGTAAAGATTTGTGATGACCTGACCATTAACAGTTGTATAATAGGTGGATACCAACTACCTCGAAGCAAACTGGTAAAAGGCAAAGGTATCTCTTAGAAGTATATCTCTTTCAAAGTTATATATGTATAGAAAAATTGATCATAGTTTATCACCAAGTAGCATGTTTTCATTCATAGAATTTGAGCTGATCAGTTCTTTCTCTGTACTTTTAAACCTATAAAATCTGTGTGCTGTAAGATCAATGGCACAATTGCATGTTTACTCTTCAGCAAAGCTGTGCCTCTTGCAGACAAGAATACTGTTTGGTGTAAGTTATCAGTTTTGAATGAAAAAATGGTAAATGGATTTACATCTATTGATTTGATTGTATTTTAGCCATTTAAGTGTAAAATGTCTTTTAAAATCAGGATAAAATTCCTTACCTTTAACTATAATAGTGCAAAAGCATAGCTTCAGCAATGGCTACGTGATTGTGTCTAAAACTTGAATAGTAAGAACACTAAAGGTTTGGTGCTTAAATTTATTTTTCCCATGCCAGAGAAAAAAAGCTCTGGTATGGTGGTCCATGGAAGTATATAAGAACATGGCTCCTTCCCTTTGGATAGCCTGGCTGTGGGGTAAATGGGATTTAGTCTATGGTGTTTCTAAACACTTTTCCTTATAGCACATTCTGTGTACACTTTAAGTCCTATATCTCCCTATCCCTCACCCCAAAAAATTATTTTTAAAGTGACAGGGATTTAACAAAATAAGACTTACATAAGGAATTTGAAGCACAGGAAGACACAGAGCCAACAGAATGAAAAACAATCATCTATTTTTTATTGTTTTTACGACCACATCTGCCTTTTCCTTTTGCTTAATAAGCATTCTTACTTTGTAACTTTCAGACTCCTTTTATATTTCTGAGTTTTATAAAGCACATATATTATGTAATATAGCAATTTGGTTCTAAAAAGCACAACGATTTTAATTTAGCTCTTAGAACATCACCTTAAATAAATGGCCTAAATAAATCTTAAAAAGCACAATTATTAAAACAAATCCAATGTTAGGACATTTCTATTCTGGATAATAAAGAGAAAAAGTAATCAGAGGGATAAGAAAACATGTTTTGCTGGGTGTTGCAGACAGAAAGAGGACTGAGTTCATACTCCATTCCACAACTGAGGCAAGTGCCAATTTGGGAAGAAAAATGAGATTGACAATGAAGAAACAGTGGCTCATAAACTAGTATATAAAGGACTTCTGTCATGCTTTTCCTACTAGAATTGTCTTTTATTATCCACAGTATTTATTTTGTTATGCCAAAAACGTAGAAAGCAACTCCATAATTAACATGTGAAAGTGCGGGCACCTGCCTGGCTCAGTCAGTAGAGAGAGCATGTGACTCTGGATCTTGGGGCATGAGTTCGAACCCCATATTGGATGTAGAGATTACTTAAAAAAAAAAAAAGTACATGTGAACATCTCCTAACCCAAGAAATGCCATCAGAAACATAAGAAAACTAGAGCTCTCATATGCAAATATTGTAAGAAGAGAAATTATCCATTCAGATAGCATTACCAAAATGTTTTTAGTGTAAGAATCACAAAATTATCAAAATAACTGTTCAGCTTAGATGCTGGGAACTTTGGAGTCATTGTAGTAGTCCTCCTTCCTGAAGGTAAGCAAGCTCCTTTCTAGCCAGTTTATGGTACTTCATTTGCCCTTGAGATGTCCCTTTTTAAATGTGTTCTGAAGTGTTCTCATCTATGTTGGATGTGCCCTATCTAAATCACAAGCTTCTCAAATGCAAGCTACTAGCTAGTTACACTGAGAAGCTGTCCAGAACGCCATATACTAAATGTGAGAGTTCACGCATCACCTGAGAAGCCGATTTGCAAAGCAGTTTCCTAGGCCCACCTTAGACGCTGGTTACACCCCCGGGTCCGCTGCAGGCTTCTGTGGAGCGCCAGCCAGGTGCTGTCCTAATGTTTCAGTAAAGGCCAAAGTAACGTGGAGTCACACAGCACAATGTCCTACAAGCTATCAGGCATTTTCTGATTTTGATACAAGGGTAACTTTATTAAAGCAGAAAACTGAACATAATTTTAAAGGACATGGTTAAAAGGACTTCACCTCCATCATCTCTTCTAACTTATATCTTCATTGAGAAACTCTGCAAGGTTAAGTTTACTTTTTTCTAGTGCTGCTGTTTTGGCTCGTCTTGGCAATCTCATCTTCATTTCTGATTCTGGCTCTGGAATTTCAGGGTCACTAAATGGATGTTGAAAATACACCAATTTAAATACAAGCTTTAAAACAAGTTTATTTATCAATAAAACTTTTTGTTTCTGTCATTTTATCAGTGTGTAATTGATATCCTGATTTTACTAAGTTTTTAAAACTAAAACCAAAAAAGACTTATTGGCTATCCTGCCAAGTAAATCATGGAAAACCTAGCTAATTGCTTTTTATTTCTATATGGAACCTGGTATTATAAGGAAAAACAACATTTTGTAATGAAGTGATTAAACAGAACAACTGCCCAAAAGAATTTTGGAGGACAACACAAAGTGAAAAAACATCTTACATTCTCTTAATTTAGGTAATACATTCTTAAAACACTCTGTAAAGAGCAGGTTTCCAAAAAACATTTTAAATTTAGTCAAAACTTAACCTAAAGCTATATACTGAAAATACACACATTACAATTTTACCAATAGATGAACACAAGGCAACTACAAACTTTCAGCTTACGACAGTGGCTTAATTGGCAGAATCTAAAAATAAACACTACACGACAAATAATATATAATTTACAATGATAGAGTAATCCTGCTTATAAATGCTAAGAACCCAAATCTAAATCCTTTAAGAGTTTGCTAATTCAAGATCGGAGAGCCATACACACAATCATGTAGTTAGAAGCATACATGGATATATAAACTGAAAGGACATATTAAAGATGACCACCTAAGACTACGGGCCATCCCAGTAGGAAAAGCACACAAGACATGGGACGTCAAATGCTCTTGATAATGGAATTCTAGACTATATATATCCAAGACCTTGTGATTTACAGTTTTCACTGAGTATCTTATACATACTGAGTTTCTCTCCTTCACAGTGTTAGCAAGCTACAATTTCTTTTCTACTCCTAGACCAAAAAAACCCCCAAAAAACACATCCATTTTCTAGATGTACATGGCATACCTTTCAGAGTCAACCTCCACAGTCTGACGTCTCCTGTTCATCCTAGCTGAAGCTGTCACTTTTCTCCGTCCTTCAAGACAGTATATAATTCATTATCAAAATTTATTCTCAATTGCTGACTGTTTCTATTTTCTGACCTACCCAAATCCTTCATTTTCCCTCTGCAACAAATTTCTTCCTAGTTTCCAGCCATTTATTCTTTTGTAAGCTTGGGTAATAGGCAAAGGAAAATATGGAAATCAAATTATAAGGAGGCAAATTTTAGTTAAATATATTTGGGAGAAAGAAGAATGTGAAAAACATGCTATGTAAAGAGAAGTACTTCTGCTATAGCACATGACCTGCGGAGAAACTAATGAAAATTAAGGGGAGATAAGTGGGGTATGCCCATCAGCAGACCTGGGAGAGAGAGCTTTAAACAGTAAGGTAATGGCTTCTTACAAAATACTCAAATGTATACATGGCCAATTCAAGTATGTGTTACAAAACATTTTTCAGTATAAAAACTAGACCTTCTAACAATATGCTGAAGGTTGCAAAAATTCTACTTGCTAGAAATTTCCAAGGTTAAGAAGATAAAGTTTAGCCCATGATGCTCCCTCATTTATGATAAGAATCTGATCAAATTGCTCAGTATGAACATTTGGTTGAAATTTATATACCCTATTTATTATTCATGTGAGACTTAACTGTTTTTCTCCACAACCTTACATATTTGCTCATAATGCAGCTAGCCCCAAGAAAACATCCAACAATATGGGACTAATTTGGAACAATACCCAACAATAAGCATGTAAATAAGTGATTGGCTACAAAAATATTATGGCCAGATTCCGTTTAGAAAAAACTTAATTCTGCATAGGGCCTCAAAATTGTTTTTTAAGAATTAAAATAATGGTTGGCTCATGGGTGGGATGATTAGCGTTCTTTATATTAGTTTGCTTGCATGTATTTTCTGATTCTTCTGTAATAAGCATGAATTGCTTTTGTAATAATAATAAAACAATAAAAAGATGTTGAATTTCAGATTTTTTTCCAAGTGATCCCCTAATTGTCAATATTTTCTTTATTCCAACAAATCCCCTATTGTTGGATACCCCTTGGGAAATAAATGATGTTGAAAAAATATGAAATAAAATGGGAAAAAGGAAAACAGAAGCCCAGACAAGTACTACAGGGATAAAAGGTTTTCAAAAGTGCTTAAACATATAAATGACAGAATATAACCAGCTAATAATAGAAAATCATCATTGATCATCTGATAAAAAAAAAATCTTAATTTAACCCAAATAGTCCTTTGCAATATGATACATTGCATCATAACTCTTTCAATCAAAAGCACTTGGAGCAACACTGGTATTAGAATCTTTTAGACACAAAGCAAAACCTAGTATCAGCTGTAAGAACTGAAAATAAAGGATACCTGAGACATTTAAAAATCTTTATCAACAAGGAAACTTGCAAAGTGAGCATTTCATTGGAAAACAAAATTGAAAAGTTTTATTATAAAGATCCATATACTACCTCTGTTAGTCTTTTGCTGAGTGGATTTTGATGCTCGGGTTGCTTTTACATCCCTGAGAGGAGTTTTATATGCTTCTTTACTTTTTTCTATTAAAGGAAATGACACAACAATGTAAATTTTAAAAAGCTTCATTAAACATTTTAAATGGTCTTTCCAAGTCAATTTTTCATAAAACAGAAATGACACCAGTACCATCAGCAGCTACTGAAAATTATCATAAACCAGTGTTCCAAAAAGCGTGAATACTGGAAAGCAAACGAAACCTGAGACAGTATGCATGGTCCTATGGTGAAAAATGTACACATAAAAAAAAACTACGAAAGTAGAATAAACATTTATCAGTAATACACTTTCCAAGGGAATTAATGAGAAACATTTTTCTTTCATTTCTGAAATCCAACCACATGTTAGAGGAGGAAAAAAAAGTGCCTCTTTAAGATGCAAAGGACAGGGGCCCCTGGGCGGCTCAGTCGTTGGGCGTCTGCCTTCGGCTCAGGTCATGATCCCAGGGTCCTGGGATCGAGCCCCACCCCGGGCTCCCTGCTCCGCGGGAGGCCTG